CAATATCATCACTGCTTTCACATTCCTCTGCAGAAATATGCAGATCCATCAGACACAGGTAGCATCTTCATCTCTGTGCTGTAAGAGGACAACCTACAAAATGTTGAGAAGAATCCTCTGATTCATGCTCAGCTTGAGCCACCCACAGACTGCTAACAGTGCAGACCCATAGCAAAAAGAAACACTGAGTGATCAATTTACTTTATTGAAAAGACCCATCCATGCATCATGTTTTCTGTATGATGTATTGCCATTTTTTAATCACATTTGCCAAGAAAATGAGGTGGCTGCTTTCTTGTCCATCTCTGCACATTGGTCTGCCTACCTGGTGTAGTGGAAGGTGTCCCTGCCCATGGCAGGGGGTTGAAACTAGATGATTTTTAAGGTCCCTTCCAACCCAAATTATTCTGATTCTATCTTCCAGCTGGTGGGCATTTTACAGCACAGATAACTGATTTAGGATGCAAGGCTAGAAGGGCCATCATGGTATGGAGAAGTTCTGGGAAACCATGTGATTGTGTTGTAGAGAATTTGCAGAGACCAGTACTGTTGCGACAGTGGATATTTACAGAATGTCAGATACAGATCTTCAGGAAACCAAGCTGTGAGGACAAAAAGGCTCAATCACCATGCTGTTAGAACACTTCTGCTTCTGAAACATCATTAAGAAAAATCATAGAATATTAGAATATTAGAGGTTGGAATGGACCTTACAGATCACCTAGTCCCAACCCTCCCTGGCCTGGGCAGAGTTACCTCCCACCAGAGCAGGTTGCTCAAGGCTCATCCAACCTGGCTCTGAACACTGCCAGGGTTGGGACATCCACTACCTCCCTGGGCAACCTGTGCCAGTGTCTCACCACCCTCACAGGGAAAAACCTTTTCCTAATATCTACCCTAAATTTCTCCTCCTTCAATTTGAGCCCATTACTCCTTGTCCTGTCACTGCAGTTCCTAACAGAGTCCCTCTTTGGCTCCCTTGCAGCCCCTTCAGATACTGATAGGCTGCTCTGAGATCTCCACACAACCTTCTCCAGGCTGAACAGCCCCAACTCCCTCAGCCTGTCCTCATAGGGGAGATGCTCCAGTCCTCTTATCAACTTTGTGGCCTCCTCTGGACTTGCTCCAACAGTTCCATGTCCTTCTTATGTTGTGGGCACCAGAACTGCATGCAGTAAATGCTGTCTGCAAAACAAAAGCCTTACCACCTTTCAGGAATCTCATGTATTTTGCAACAATTGCACTTCACCACTCCTCTTCGGAGGATTCCTAAGTATAACTGCAATACCTCAATGCACAGTCATTGCCAGAACCCACACCAGACCATGAGGATTGTGCTGGATCCTGGAGTTACTTCTTTTATTCAGGGTCAATAAAGTATCATGTGCAACCTCCCTGAAATACCACAATCCCAACCCTGTTGGGATTGTGGTTTTTCAGGGAGGTTGCACATGATACATGGTGCAGAGGTGAAGCTGGTCCTGAGGTGATGCCTGAATGCTGACTTTGGATCCTTCACTAATGTTTCCATGCCATCTAGTGTCACTACAGGCTGCCTGTATTCAAATTTAAATGCATTGCTAATGGCTCTGCTAAATGCCTCCCTATAAAAGAGTAATAAACCCACCAAATGCATCTCATGGAACAATGTGCAACAGTGGGGAGGTCTCTGTTTATGTCCAGAATATTGTATCCCTATCTGAGAACAGTGCTTCAGAGTTAGAGTGCAACCCAAATACCAACAGAAGAGCACCCTATGTTAGATAAGGGTTGAGCTGACCATGAGGTTGCAGCAGTATGTCTGTACTACACAGAGAAATGGGCTGAGATTACCAATTACTTCACTGAACCAGTGCATTTGAGAAGCTCTCAGAAAACAAAGGTAGAAGAAATCTAACACAGAGATTTTGCAGCTTTGCATTGTTTTGATTTCATGATGTGCCATAACACTGTGTGGCTCCTGTAATATCTGTGTGAATAAGCAGGGATCACCTACCCTGGGACAAAGTGCTAAGTAGGAGTATAAATTATTTGTAATGCTGCATTTTCTCTATTTATCAAACCTTTAATGTTGGTGAGACCAGACAGATTTAAGACATTTTAATTTGCAGAGAGGCTGTAGATTAATTTTTTTAAAGGCAGAGTTGCCACAGTAAAATCATTTGTAGGTTAAACAAATTGAGGATTTACAGTAATAGGGAATTCAATGGTGATAGGGGTAGAAAGATTTAAGATATTAGGATTAATTTTTCCCAACTGTCAGCTCTGTGACCTTGTGCTCTAAGGATATTTCCTGCATGCTGCAAGAACCAATCACTGATTTAACAGGAATATGAATAGGCAAAGCACAAAGAATTATTTCCAACAAATTTTTTCTTGTCTGTTAGCCAGTCCAGAGAAGGCCACCAAGTTGATCAGAGGGATGGAGCACTTCTCCCATGAGGAAAGGCTGAGAGAGAATTGGGATTGATCTGCCTGGAGAAGAGAAGGCTTTGAGGCGACCTAATTGCAGCCTTCCAGTACCTGAAGGAGCCTAGAAGAAAGATGAAGAGAGATTATTTGCAAGGACCTGAAGTGAGAGGACAAAGGGGGAATGACTTCACACTGAAAAAGAGTATGTTTAGATTAGACATGCAGAAGAGATTCTTCCCTGTGAGGGTGGTAAGGCACTGGCACAGGCTGCCTGGAGAAGCTGTTGGCATGTTGGGATGGCTGCTCCATCCCTGGCAGTGTTCAAGGCCAGGTTGGATGGAGCTCTGAGCATCCTGTTCTAGTGTAACGTGTCCCTGTACAGGGCAGTGGGGTTGGAACTAGGTGGTCTTTGAGGTCCCTTCCAACCCAAACAGTTCTATGAAGGTTGCATTTCCACCTTTCCAAAACTCAGACTTTTTTAGTTTTTTTGCAAAATTGTGTATTTTGTTAAAATTTGTCCTAAAAGAACAAACAGAGATGTTAGATAACCTCAACAGAAATTCAAATACTGTGAAATGAAATAGTGACACTGCTTCAGCTGGTTATATACAACAGGACTCCTATACCTCCTACCATGTGCTACCACAGGGAGTTGTTGAGCTGAGGAGACATGGGGTTGGAGTTGGCTGTGTGTCATGGACACATGTGGTGACAGCAAAGGGTTTGAGCAGTGAAACAATCAGGGTTGTTTCAATAGAGTACTGGGCAGAGCATTTTCGTTCTTATTCATCTCCTGAGTTTGTTGTACGTCATCATAACCCCCAAAGAGGAAACTCAGTGAAACATCACTGCTTTCCTCTGCTCTATATCTGTCTCTCTCTGCTGCCTGAGGCAGATCCTCAGAGGTGCCATTTCATCCTGTGGTTCTGACTCTCCTCTTTCTTTTCACACTTGGCTCCTGTATGAGCATTTTTAATTTTTTTTTAAGGAAGCAGTTTTTATCTTCTTCCCTCTTCTCAGGTCATCTATAATTTTATAATCTTCTTTGGCATGTTGCTCACTGCCAATCTGTGATATCTTCCTGATCTTGCATATCTCTCCCACGCCTCTCAGCAGTGGCATGCAAACACCACATCCTGCTCCATCAAAGAGACAATGCAATTCTAATCTTTGTCACACAGCTAAACAATCCATTCTTGCACTTCTGGGATAGTCATATGTTCCAGCAGTGTCTCAACTGCATCCCCCAATCTCATGCTCCCCTCCATATGAGAAAGGGAATTTCTGCTTAAAAGAGAACTATCAGCAGTGAAAATTTCTCTCACCAGCAGCTCTGCAACATGCAGATTCCCTTGCCTTTTTCCCTCCTCACTTTCTCATTAACTCTGCCTTTGTTTCTTCACTCAGAGGGGACAAAGTCTCTCAGTTTTGATGTCCCTGTGCTGTACTAGCCTTCAAATACTCATTTTGCATTACCATATCACTCAGCCCTGCCTAGTTCCCCCTGAACAGTCTCTTGGGCCTCTCTGGAGCAGAGACTATACAAAATGTCAGCATTGTATTGGAGAATTCCAAAAAGAAACCACAAATATACTTACTGTCTACAGCAGGACTGTCAACAATGTGACCTGGGATTCAAGCAATCTGTATGCAATTTGATCTCTTTAAGCTCTCTCCCTGAAGATCAGATCAGGTATCTCTCCTTCTCTGTTGTTCACCTGTTCTGCAAGCACTTGTTCCAGCAGATTAATACAAATAGGCTTTTCTAGGCTTTCCCAGCAAGTAAGTACAGATAAACTACCACATCCTTCAAAATGCACAGACCTGGGCTATGTTTTGTAGTGGATTATGCAACTGGGCAAATTGGAGACAAAGCACAAGGCACTTCCCTGGCAGAGATGGGCAGAACACAGCTGAGGGTCTTTGTCTCTCATGTCATTACACTGAAAGGTCTCGGACAGGACAACAGATGTTGTACTTTTCTCCTTCCACTCATTCCCACCAAGGTATAGCACATGGAGCAAAGACATTTTTCTTATTCTACTCTTCAACTGCAGTCCCAATTGCTATCAAAGGAGACATTTTTATGTGCCACAGTGGCTTGCTCTTAAAAGCCATGGCACTAAGGCTCAGCCCATTTCCACCAAACTTGCCAATAATCATCACACCAAACACCAGAGTGGCACAATCAAGGTTCATTTCAGAATCTGCTATGAAAAGACGAGTTAGTCAGATGAGACCCTTTTCTTTGGTGAGAAGAGTCAACATTCACTCACCCCCAGGGGTACTGAGTAGGAGGTAAACATTTTCTTGCCTTTTTTTTTGCTGTTCTGTAGTACAAAACAGCTATTAAAATGTTTAAAGGTGTATATGAGAAGGCCTAGTACAGTTTCACTCAGGCAAGGTGCCAGGGCAAGTTATACAAAGTGTTGATCTTTCCTACATTTTAAATTGGATATAGAGCAATGGGTTTCCAGCCCTCCTTTCTGGCAACAGGCCCAACCTCATGCACTTCCATATAAACTGGGCCCCTTGTAGCTTGCCCAAGGTATCAGCAAGACTCAGGAATTGCAGTGGTGCTGTTGATGATGGCAATTGTCTTCTCGAGAATCAAGAGGATGTTCTTCCTCTTGTTCTTCCCATGCTTTTGTTCTGGTCAGCTTGCACCTCCACCGCTGCGTTTCTCCACTTTCCTGGATCCTTCCAACATGGTCTACCTCCACTGGGACCATGATGATCAGGAGCTGATGACATTTGAGCTGCAGGTCCATACAACTGGCTGGGTGGCATTTGGATTCAGCCCTCATGGAGAGTTGCCTGGATCTGACATTGTGATAGGAGGTGTCTTCCCAAATGGCAGCATCTACTTCTCTGTAAGTTGAAAATACTTCCTCTGCATCCCCCTTTGCCAAGGGTCATACTCCAAGTATATTGACAAAAAAAGTGCATTGAAAGGCTAAGAGAATTGGGATTATCCAGCTTGGAAAAGAGAAGGCTTTGGGGAGACCTAATTGTGACCTTCCAGTGCCTGAAGGGAACCTGTAAGAAAGATGGAGACAGACTGTTTGCAAGGGCCTGGGGTGACAGGACAAAGGGGAATGGCTTCAAACTGGCAGAGAGGTTTAGATGAGATATTAGGAAGAAATTCTTCCCTGAGAGGGTGGTGAGGCAGTGGCACAGGTTGCCCAGAGAAGTTGTGATGCCTCAACCCTGGCAGTGCCCAAGGTCAGGTTGGATGGGACTTTGAGCAACCTGGGCTAGTGGTAGGTGCCCCTACCCCCAGCAAGGGGGCTGGAACTAGATGATCTTTAAGGTCTCTTCCAACCCAGGTCATTCTATGATTCTGTGAGATTGGCTGGAAAACATAAAGGCATAACTGCCTAAAAAATATATGTCCAATGCCATTTGAGATCCTTGGTCAGTATGACCTGCCTGACAGTCCAGAAGAGACCAAGACTTCTCCAGGTCCTATGCCATGCCTGCCAGACCCATTCAGCTGCCAGAGATATATGCTATCCCAGATGGCACTAGATGATGTTGTTTAGCAAATAAACTGATCCCATCTACAAGTCAAAAGCACAGCCTGGACCAATTAGATATGACTGAAGGAATCAACTACCACAAAAGTAGAAGAGACTGCTGGGAGTGTAATATCCAATTCTTCAACCAGAGGTCAGTTCAGACAGGAGTCAGATGTGAAATTCTCATGTTTTCCCTCACTGAAGCTCTTTGACTTTTCTCTGACTTGATTTTCCTCTATAATAAATGGAGACATCTGTTCCCCTCCAAAGTTTGCATCTTCCTGACGGTCTCAAATGTGTCTCTTAGGCATAGGATAGGACATCTTTGGGCATAGCTGTCTTTTCCATTGTTAGGCAACCACTAACCATAGATGCCTGATGTTAAAGCAGCTGGAGTTTAAAGGAAAAAAATGCCACCAAAAGTGCTAAATAAAAAACAGGCTGTTGTTTTGTTTTGGTTTAATTGTAAAAGAGAAACAGACACTTTAATGTTATCCAGAGATAGAAAGGAAAAAAGCTTATGCTGATGAAACATTTGAGAACCACAATGGTGTTTTTTTTTATTTCAGCTGTTTTCAGTTCCCTTTTCACACCACAGTAAAGTGTGTTTTGCATGAAATATGTCTCAGCACTCATCTAAAAATGGGTGAACTTTGGAGAGGGTGAGATGACTAGCCTTTCTGATGGTCAGTAGCTGGTTGCAAAACAATTCTTGTAATACCCATTTTTGAAATTTTTTCATGATTGTGACACAGACATTTGGCTGTGAATGACTGCAGGAAAAAAACTATACTCAATTTAGAAGAAACACTTGTTCTCATTTTTTAATAATGATTTTTTAAAAAACTGATTTGGAGTAAACCCAAAGCACTTAATCTCTCCTAAAAGAACATCCTGAAAGGAAAAATTGAAATGTTTTGTTTCAAAAGTATTAAATATTCCATTATTTTCAGAAGATACTTTTAACATTAGCAAGGGGGTTTTTTTCTGCACTGGTAGCAGAAACTCATGTTTATATTAAAAATTAATTTTGCTCCCACCAAAATTGCAGTTCTTTTCAACTCTTTTCAGAAAATATCTCCCAGTTATTTACTGGATGCATTTCAGTAAGCAAGAATGTTAGTGGCCACAAAAAAAATCACATTTGTTCGTCTTACATCTGAACGGTACATCCACTGAACCCATGGAACAGATCGTTTGAGGAAGCTGTTCCCTTCTTCCTGTTGACCACTTTGACCACTGTTCCTTTTCCAGGATTGTCACATGGAAGGTGAGGCAACCCTTGAGGAAGATGAGAGCCAGGACTACCAACTGCTGTCAGTGACAGAGAACAAAACCTCCACCACCATGTCGTTCAAACGTCACCTCCGGACGTGTGACACAAATGACCTGGATATCACAGTAAGAAAGGAAGTTGCTCAAGCAACACCCCAAATAAACCTGCTGTCATTTCCCATCATATTCCTAAATCCCCCAGATCAGATCTGAGAGTGACAGGGCTTTTTTCTCACAACAGTGCAATAACAGGAATTAAAGAAACATATGAAACCATATGGCCACATTTACAACACCTATTCCAAGGGCACTACTTTGATGTCACTGAGGTTTTCTTATAGTAATTTTCATCAAAAAATTGGGAATATATAAAACCCAACGTTTTCTTAAGCTTGAAGAGTGCTATTCAAAATCCTGCTCATTTCTTTGTCTCTCATTTGCCACATTACAAAAAAAAATATAGTGTGGGAGATAAAATTTCTATTGCCTAATGTAAGGCAGTATTTTGGCAAAAATATTGTGTTTAGCAAATGCAGAATGTTCTTAAAATCTCAGTCCTTCTCTCTTGGAAGAGCTTCATATTGGTGTTGACTGACTTACAGCTTAGCCAACCCAAATTGGTGTTTTGAGTCAGAGATTTTTCAAAAATATGCTTTGCCAAAGTTCACAAACATACAAATTTCAGAACTCTGCATATATAGACACTGTTGTGTTATTTTAGGTGACTTCTAATTGCACATGGGTAGCATGGGGATTAGTATGTGGATTGTTTTATAATGTGAGTATAGGGTATGTGATATAGGGTGAAAACGTGTGTGTGGTTGATGGGGAAGACTGAAAGAGGTTTGTCGTGTGTGGTTGATGGGGAAGACTGAAAAAGATTTGCCAGTGAAACACTTCCATTTCAGATGGACACAGCCCATCTTGTTGCTGCATTTGGCACTGATGACACAGTCCAATTCTTTAAAAGCCAAAGATTTTCCAGATCTCTTTTCCTGATGAGGTACAAAAGCCCATCTGACTCAACTGACCCCAAAGTATTCTTCACCTATGACCTGAGGCTGGACAACGTAAGTATTGGACAAGAACTTTGTTTAGTATGTTCAAAATTTCCCTTTCCTCTGTCTTTCTTTGTAAAGTTGATCATGCCCATGTTGGAGATTTGGATTGCGCAGGCCGAAAGATGGACATGACTCATCTTGGAAACATGGAAATAGAGCTGGCAAGAGTAGGAATGAGGTGGGAATGGAAGGCATGCTGTGTGAAGGGTAAAGGGCTTATTTGGTAGGAAAATGCTGTAACATTGCCCGTTCCCTTCGCTAGACTTTATGGAGCCAAACACAGACTGGTGCTACTGAATTGTAATACGAATGTCAGCACAGACATCCTGGTTCATTGTCCCATCCATATAGACCTGTGTAAAAATATCTACAATACACAGAAGATACTCATTATCTTCGTGGGAAGCACACAATGTCACAGAGAAGAGAAATAATGGGTATACATTTAAATGCTCTGTGACAAGTCTTGTTAAGTGCTCAGAAAAGCCGAATCGAGTGTGCTACCTCCAGTATTAAGTCATGCAGCAGCTCAGTATCACATAAAAGGATTTATGAGGGTAGCTGGAACCTCCCATTAGCATCCCCCCATGGTACATGCACCATCCTTGTCAAATGGAGTTCAAAAGTACCAACTCAGTGTGGTATTGCACCTTCCTTCTTCAAACAGCATCGGCCCACACAGTCAGCACACGCTGAAGATGCAGCAGAATCTGCTGATCAGTGTGGGCAATAAAGAGGGGCACTATTTTTATGTTAGGATTTGTGGGATTAGTGCAATCATGTGTTGTGCTTGTGACTCCAGAAAACCAGCGATAAAGACATTGATTGAACTGGATGAATGTTTCCTACACTCAATTCATGTTACAATAGGCAAATTAGTAATGCAATTCCCAGATGGGAAAAAAAACCCAAACATCTGAAAGAAAAAAAATTGAGACTGAAGGAAGAAAATTTGGTGAAGCTGACAAACCATAGAACATTTTGGGTTGGAAGGGACCACTAGGAAGCAGAAGAAATATTTAGGGTGCCAAACACAGACTGGTGCTACTGAATTGCAATATAATTATTTGCACAGACATCCAGGTTCATTGTGCCATACATATATGCCCATATAAAAATACCTATAATATACTGAAGATATTTACTACTTCCCATCATAGTTTCATGGGAAACACACACTATCCCAATATCAGGGTGCTGAGGCACTGGCACAGGTTGCCCAGAGAAGCTGTGGCTGCCCCATCCCTGGCAGGGTTTAAGACCAGGGTGGATGGAGTTCTGAGCAACCTGGTCTAGTGAAAGGTGTCCCTGCCCATGGCAGGGGGTCGGAACTAGATGATCTTTAAGGTCCCTTCCAACCCAGGCCATTCTGTGGTTTGGATTCTATGAAAACCCAAGCAGTCGCTTGCTAAATGCATCATCCATATTTCCTGCCCTCTCCATTTCTGGGTCTCATTCTCCTTGCACTGCATCCCTTTGGCTTCTGAGTTTCCTCAAGGGACTCTTCAGGTGACTCGTGTGTTTCTTTTCCAGTTTGCTGTTCCAGTAGAAGAAACGACGTATGCCTGTACCTTTATCCCACTGCCCATGGTCAAGCAGAAACACCACATCTACAAGGTAAACTCACAGGTTGCCTTACTGGGGAGAAACAGGCCAGCTCAGACTTCTTCAATAATGCATAAAAGTATTTTACAGCATTTCTGTATAAATTTAGGAGCATTTAATCTGTTCCTCACTGCCATCAGGATGAGGCAGTTAATGTGTTTGGGTTTGTGTGGAGATAAGATTCAGGATGAGGCAGTTAATGTGTTTGGGCTTGTGTGGTGATAAGACCTGTCTGTTTTTCCAGCTTTGGAAGTACCTTTGTCTTTATATGCATCATACCTGAAGAAACTTTGCTACAAGTCATGCAAAGAGTGACTGAGGTCACTTGGTTTGTTCAGCCTGGAGAAGAGGAGACTGAGGGGAGACCTCATTGTTGTATACAACTTCCTCACAAAGGGAAACAGAGGAGCAAACACTGATCTCTTCTCTCCAGTGACCAGTGGCAGGACCCAAGGGAATGGCACAAAGCTGTGACAGGAGAGGGTTAGGTTGGATATTAGGAAAAGGTTCTTCCCCCAGAGGGTGTTTGGGCACTGGAACAGCTCCCCAGGGCAGTGGTCATGGCTCCAAGCCTGACAGAGCTCAGGTGTTTTGACAATGCTGTCAGGGACATGCTGGGATTCCTGGGCCTGTGCTGTGCAGGGTCAGGAGTTGGACTTGATGGTCCATGTGGGTCCCTTCCAACTTAGGATGTTCTATGGCTCTATGAAGTCTGATGGCTCAGTGTAGGGAGCTCAGGCCATGTTACCTATTGGTATCTTTGAAAGCAAAAGGATCCTCCAGAAGGATCTGTATTGAAAGGAATTTTGCTTTTGACCTTGGAGATGACTAAGAATATCTGTTAAAAAAGGCATAACTAAGATTTTTGCTGTCCTGTTTTCAAGACTAAATATGCAAAATTGAAGAGCAAAGAAAAGAAGCAGGAACTTTACAAAGCAATCCTAACTTTCTTCTCAAATGAAGATAACTTTGCGTCAAGGTCATGCAACCCTTCTTAGTTTTGTGGGTTTTGAAGGTTTAAAAACAGATGTTCCACTGGAATGGTATAAGGCAAAATTTCATAAGAAAGACTTTGTATGGGCTGGAAAAAAGAATGTAACAGGTACCTCTTCAGAACAAACTCAGGAGTTTGTCAGTCATCAGGATTTTTAGGCCTGATCTCATCAGTGCTGGTAAAAAGTACAGTGGTTAATGAACAGATTCAAGTTATTTGTGGTATTTACTTTAAGCTATCTTGGTTAAAGTAGTTTTGGCACAACTGAGGGAGCAGTGAATTCTAGTGAGCCTGAAATCAAGGTCCCTTATCCAGCTTTGCAGCCAATAAAATGGTGTATGAAGTAAACTATAATTCTAGTCTGGAACCACACTGCCCAGCATAATGGGTCACCCCTGTGATTCTGATCAAGGGCGAGTGCTTTAAATGAAGATGCAAATCCTTCCTGGAAAAATGGACTCTGTTCAGTGCATACCAAAATGAGTAGTTAAACCATCATGCAGTTTACTGTCCATTGAGTGAATGAGATCGTATCTGTTTTTCTACGGTATAATTTACTGCCCAGGAAAGAAATATTTTAGAGTTGACAATAATATTTTTGACTCTTTTTCTTGGTTACAGTTTGAACCTGTAATAACATCCCACAATATAACCTTGGTTCATCATATTCTTGTTTATGCCTGTGGCAACTCCAGCATCCTACCCAGTGGCATAGGTGATTGCTATGGAGCCAATCCAGATTTTTCCCTGTGCTCTCAGGTCCTTGTGGGCTGGGCTGTTGGAGGAGAGGTGAGTCTGCAGGGCCCATTCCCTTCCCTATTTCTTGCTATGAACAGCAATACCCTTGTTGTCAGCTTCTCTAGTAAGACCCCACAGTCCTGCAGGGCCAACCAAACTGGTGAAGTTTCCTCATACTGTCCCCATTCAACTCTACTTGTGCTGCATCAGGTGATGTTGCTGTTGATACTCTGTGTATGTGTCTGTTATTACCATATCTGCCTTAAACAAGTATTATATGTCACATACTAAGACTTTCATTTGACCTTTTAATAATGTTGCCGTTAATTGCACAAAATTCTCCTCATGTTAGTCTAGCACAACTGAAAGAAGTGTATTACTTTCTGCTTTTTTCCTACTGACTTTGTCTCTATTTCAATAAAGTAAAATTAAAAGATCAGTGAAGCTGGTTCTTCTGACTGAGTGGCCAAGTTTGAAGAGTCTGAGTGGCATAAATTTTAGAATCTATTCTGTGCCTTTCAGACCAAAATGCATTTTGTATTTCTATGGTATGCATGGACATGGGGATGGTGGAGAAAGGAGACAGGTTTTACACAAAACCTTTATACACATTTTATTTAGATTTTGTATTATGCAGTGCCAATACAGATATGAAATCTGCTGCAAGAGTGTACACATACTATAACCATTTCCTATTAACCATAGTATAAAAATTAAAAATTAAACAAATCAATAGAATAAATGAAAAGCAGATACTGAAATTCTTCTTTGCTCCAATTCAGAGGAAGAGAAATGGAACTGGCAGAATTTCTCACGTTTTGATTTCTAACAATGTCTAGATAAATACTCAGAGACACAAGAAAATAGCTTTCTTTTTGTAAGTTTTCAATCACGAAATGACAGAGAAGAGTTAAAAACTAACTATTTCATATACTTTTATTCTTCCTCTTCCTCTTTCCACAAGTCCTATCAATTTCCAGATGAAGCTGCAGTTTCCATAGGGACACCTTGGGACCCTCAGTACATACGACTGGAAATCCATTACAGCAATCTTGACTTGTTACCAGGTGAGTAATGCTGTGCAGTTGTCTGACAAAGAGCAGCCTCAAGATGGAAGCCTCAAACCTCACCTACAAGCCTATTAGAAACTAGTTTCTGCATGAAAGACTTTCATATGTTGCTTGGTACAACTGTCAGGACAGTAAGAAGAAACTGGACTGGGCTTCCATTCAGGAGAAACTTAAAAAACATAGGCAGTTACATCTGCTTAGATTGGACATGTCTTAACATCAAACCAGCTGAGTACACCTTCCTGCTACAATATGAGCAGGAGTGTTAAGAGAAACATCAGGAAAATGAGGGAAAGGAGCAGAGTGGCTGTGGGAGAAATAGTGCATTGGGGTCAGGATGGAGTCCTGAGAGCTTAATAATAAGCCCTTAGGCTTTTACCATGACCTCCAGCACTCAATACCTACAGCAGGTGATGAAGAATCCCACCATGTTATTTGATATCATTTTACAGAAGGAGAAGAAAAGTCTGAAATGATTTGGCAGGAGTCATCTGAGACTATAAGCAGGGCTTGATCCAGATGCACTATGAGTAAAGATCTCTGCAACTGCACAACTTGCAACTTTGAGGCTGTAAATTGCAGTGACCATACCACTGGGGGTTGTGTAGAGGGCTTGGGCCTTTCTGTGCCTCCTCTGAACCTGGAATTGGGAAAGGAAAGTCATGGAGCACCTCTCTTATGAGCTAAAGCTGAGAGAATTGGGATTGTTAAGCCAGGAAAAGAGAACAATTTGGGGTGACCTAATTGCAGCCTTCCAGTACCTGAAGGAGCCTACAAGAAAGATGGGGAGAGACTATTTACAAGGGCGTGGAGTGTCAGAACAAGGGGAAATGGCTTCACACTGACAGAGAGTAGGTTTTGGGATATTAGGAAGAAAGTCTTGGCTGTGAGGGTGGTGAGACACTGGCACAGGTTGCCCAGGGAAGCTGTGGTTCTTCCATCCCTGGCAGTGTTCAAGGCCATGTTGGCTTGGTCTCTGAGCAACCTGGTCTAGTGGAAGGTGTCCCTGCCCTTGGCAGTGGGGTGAGAACTAGATGTTCTTTAAGGTCCCCTCCAACCCAAACCATTCTGTTTCTATGATTCTATGTGTTGTCCTTTCAGGTTCCACTTCTGATGTTTCTGGAATCATTGCTAAAGGAGAGGTCATTTTTCTTTTACAGGCTTGATTGACAGCTCAGGGATACGAATCTACTACACACCAGAGCTACGGAAATATGATGTGGGGGTTCTGCAAACAGGTGTCTTCATTTTCCCTGCACATTTCATTCCTCCTGGAGCAGAATCCTACAGATCTTACGGTCTTTGCAATTCCAGCCAGTTCGACGAAGTGAGTGTGGGGAAAGCCATACAAAATTCTTATTGATCTTTCTCACTTTGGGCTTTCACCTTGGTCTAGGCACATCTAAAAGCCATTTGGTGCAGGGTGCTATCTCAGACTCCGTTTCTGCATGTTGCATAATTAGTGTCTTTTCCAATAACACTGCTCAGCAGAAATCCATCATTAGGCCTAAAAGCATTAGCAGAGCTGTGTAAGCATGTCAGAAACCATGGCTTGACCACCCATTCACCCCACCTAACTGAAAGTGAACCCTGAAGGACCTAGTGACTTCCCAAGCCCAAGGGTTTCCTGCTCTACCACACGCAAGAGGCCTTTGTGCTACCACAGTTGTGTCATCCTGGTGCAAGAAGGCAGGTACAGGGTTGGGAGGATGTGGTGCTCTCTCTGAGGTCAGTGAGATACCTCAAGAGCAGAGATCTGACATCCCTCAAAACACAGCAAGAGAGGCTGTTAGCAATAATCAGGTCTGGTGGTTTGTAGGACCCAGGTGATTCACAGGTCGGTCCAGGACTGCTAGATGTGAGGTTGCCACTTTCCCCATCCCCAGGCCCAGCTGGTGCCAAGGCTGGGGGCAAACTCCAGAGGTACAGATGTCCCCCACCCAAGCACACACAGGGCAGACTCAGCTGGCCACAAACAGATCAATACAGTCAGCAGTACTATAATTTTGCAGGCATGAGCAATGCCCACGTAAGCATGGAGGACACGAATTACCAGCAGTACTATAATTTTGCAGGCATGAACAATGCCCACATAAGCATGGAGGACACGAATTATCCAATCCTCTTTCTCCTCTGCGGCTAATGAGGCTTAAAGTTCACTAAAGGAACATAACCATACACTCACTCACTCAGATCCCATATTTAATCATATTTGTGGGTTTCTTACAGTTTCATAAGCCCTTTCAGCATCTATGCCCAGATCCAGAGTCCTTTTATGCAGCTTCTGGCCTGGACCTTGGGTCTTTCCAGCTGGAAGTTCCTTAGTGAACCATCCCACCCCAAAACCAGAGACACACACATATACATAGTAAAAAGAACACACTCACACAGAAAACAGCTGGGAACAGAGTTTAAGAAAATAGTCTAGATTGCAGCAGTCAGGAACCACATTTGGCCAGATGTGCTGCCTGGTCTGCATAAGTACAGCTAGACTTCCCTTTTCTTTTCTTCATTTTCCTATGTTTGTCTCTCTCTTTTCCTAATTTTGACCTCTTCCCTAAGTGCCCAATAATAACTTTTGCATAGTCCCACAATCCCCCTTGAACAACCCATAGATTTGAGACCAGCAGTAATCTTGTTTTTCTTTTCATCAATTTTCCAAGATTTTTTTTAAACCTTTTAAGGTTTACATTTTGATGGTTCTTTCAATGGCCCATTGATCAGTGTCTTCCAATTTCTGCTTCCTATTTTCTGCTCTTTCTAAGAGTTCATATATCTGCATGTTAACCTATTACCTCTTCTGTATGATGTATTTGTATTTTGGCCTATAGCAATATATCCTTCAGTACCCAGCATGAGATATCACAAACTCAGGCAACTATGCCAGAGTACCTAAAGCCAGAGGAGTGATTTTTGACCCACAGAATAAAATGGTCTTAAGCCTCCTCTTTAAAAAAAAAAGTCAAACTGGCATTTATACAAGTTCCATCAAGCTTTTGACTTGATGGGTAGGCCTAAAGGGTAATGCTATGCTCTGGTTGTCAGGCTCTGATGTTCTCTGTTTTGAACTGCAGATGAATGGGATGCTGGTTCCAGATCTCCATGTCTTTGCCTATCTGCTTCACACTCACCTGTCTGGCAGAGGAGTGAAAGTCGTTCAATACCGGTAAGAGAAGGAAACACAGTATTGCTGGACCAGTCCCTGCCTCTTGGGCTTGAGTGGATGAGAATGGTGTTCTCAGGTTAGTTTCCATCTGTCTGTTAGTGCAGGTGACTCTGCAATGCCTGAAATGTAGTATAATGAACTAGCTCCCAGGGAGAGAAGGGTCAGCTCAGCAAATAGTAAGAGACCAGGACTGTACCTCCTGTTAAATTACAGTGGTCCAGGCAGTGAGCTCAAGCACTGGGCTGCTGTTCCTCCACACAATTCATCTGCTAGCAGTGCTCTTGCACTTTGTCCTGCTACTCAGACTCACCCTGAACTACAAGTTCCCGTGGGCTGTGTGGGCAAAACCCACTGGGTTTGATTTCCTTCACCATTCTCCCATGCTAAGAATTTCAGCACTCCTATGCACTGTGTGAAGACACCCCAGCCCACTGAGACATAAATTCTCAATTTCAAGCTATGAAAATAATCAGTCATGGTCTGCAGCATAGCACTGATGTGGCTACAACTTGAGTACTGTTCTGGCCTCTCTCACTTCAAGAAAGACATTGGGGCACTGGAGCATGTCCAGAGAAGAGGAACAGAGCTGGAGAAGGTTCTAGAGAGTAGGTCTAATGAGAAGAGGCTGAGGGAGCTGGGGACGTTTAGCCTGAAAAAAGGAGGCTCAGGGGAGATCAAGCAAAGCAGAGACCTCCTAAGAAGCAATATACAAAGCACTGTAGAAACAGCAAGGAAGAATTCACATGTGGTACTTCTGCACCTGAAAGGGATGCAAGAACAACCTGCAAATTCTACTCTGCTAGGGCAAGAGAGTCTTTATATTTAGAAATGTGTTTTGTAATGCAAGTGTTGGAGCTCTTACTTCTGGGACTTGAGACTGTCATCTGAAAAGCAAAAGTTTCAAGGCACAACAATTACTGAAACACTAAAAGTCCATATTTGGACTCAAGACCACGGAATGTTGGATGAGAAATTTCAAGTGTATGCTTGGGACTGAAAATGTGTTCTGTGAGTTACAATACGAAAGAGATCAGGCATGATTTCTGGAGGGGATTTTTCTTGTTTCTGTTTATTTCATCCAAAAATCAGTTATTTCACACCCCTCTCTGGAATCATTACACACTTCTCCCTTTGTTTGTCCTCCCCAGGAACGGTGAGCAGCTGAGGATCATCTGTGAGGACAATAAGTATGACTTCAGGCTGCAGGAAATTCGGGACACGAAGGAAATCCTCACAATTAAACCAGTATGATCCTCTCCTGGGATGTAGCACTGGGCAGGCAGGCTGGGGAGGTGGCAAGCATCAGGGGTGTCAGAGCACATTGACATATTCTATCCTTTGTTCCACCTCAGGCTGTGGTCTGTTGCTTTCACGATGCCGTTTTCTGGTTCCCAATGTTGTGAGCTGTTGTCTTGTGTATTTTGCCTGTTCTGCTCTGACAGTGTGCCCTGCTTGTTCCTAGGGGGATGAAATCCTGACTGAATGCAACTTTCAAACACTGGATCGGTCAGGGGTTACTTTTGTAAGTTTGTTTTCCTATGTATAAATCACCATTAAAATCTTTTGGGCAGACATATGTCTTCCCCAGGCAAATTACTACCCTGGCTAAAGCTTCTTGTGTCAGACACAATGTCATACACATACTGAGGCATTTCTTCAGCAAGACCCTCCTACTACAGGGTTTTGAACAGGTCCTAAAGGTATCTTGTATCTAATACTCTAGAAGCTAACTCTTGTCCAAAATGTCAAGTGAGAGTAGAGAACTTGCAGCTGAGTTGGTTTTCAATCATTGAACACTCAGATTTAGTCAACAGACAGAAGTCAAATATAGAAACTGACAGAATCTGGCAGCTGGATCTGGTCTGGATCTCTCAAAACATGAAGACATTCATTTCAGTTCTTATTCAGACCAGACATCAGTGTTGCAGAACTTCATGCATAAACAGCTATTGTCATGCTCAAGATTCACAACTTATTTTAGAACATAAGCCATGCAGAGGAGTTAATGACATTATTGCTCTTAGAAAAGTGCAAAAAAAGCTGAGATTTGATCTAAAGAGCATTACAGAGTTTATAATGACAGAGAACAGCATGGTTTGGTATGGCTGGGTTTGTTCCAACCCAGCCATCAACTGGAAAATTTCGATCTGGATGTCACACTCAGTTAATTCTCTGAATGTTTTAATTGAAGTTTTTCAAGTTTCAGCTTTTGAGATCTTGTAGAGTGAAATAAAATATTGTAGTTTTTCTGAAGAACAGAATAAGCAGATCTGCTCAGGCATTGGAATAGGCTCCCAGAGAGGTGGTGAAGTCACCATCCAGAGAAGTGTTTAAGAGGTGTCTGGACCTGGTGTTAGAAAATGTTAAGAGGTGTCTGGACCTGGTGTTGGAAGATATGTTTTAGACATTACAGCTGTGACAGGTTAACAGTTGGTCTTGATGATCTTAGAGGTCACTTCCAACCTTGCTGATTCTATGATTTAGGTTACAAAACCACAGAGCAACCTATATATCAGTCTGTTTACAAAACCACAGAGCAACCTATATATTAGTTTGCGTGAGGGTATTTTGATTCTCCGTTTCCAACTGTCAGAAAAATTAATTCTTTTGGGTTTTTTCCACCAGACAGGATCTGCATGCACTGTGAAAATGAGTGCTTTCCTGAGGAGAAATGGTTGCCTCCTCATGTCTCAGCAGACCTCTGAGTCATCCTTGTTTCTTTGCAGGGTGGGCTAAGCACCATGAATGAGATGTGCCTTGCATTCCTCTTCTACTACCCTCGTAACAACATCTCCAGTTGCATGGGCTACCCAGACATTTTGTATGTTGCACACACAGTCAAGCAGGAGGCCTCAGAGTGAGTCCTGAGACAATGTGTTTCTGAAGTAGCAGAGGAAAATGTAGCTGCAAAGAATGGCAAATAAAAGATAGAATGAAAATTATAAGTTGCTGATAGAGCCATGTACCTGGACCTGACAAGCTGAACGTACTTGTTGCAGGAATCTATTAACTGTGATACTTTAGCAATCTGTTCTCCTTTATCACTTCTTTCCCTTCCATTTTTCCCCCTCTTCTCTTGTCTTCTCATGATTTGTCTTCACTTCCCTATTGCCCTTTCCTCTTTTCTCAGTGCATTGGAAGGAATGATGGCCATGAACTTTGTTGACTGGGATGATGATACTGTCAAAATTGCAGAGAAAGCTGCCAAGGAGGCAAACCAAGTGGTCGTGATTAAAACCATCAATGTAAGACACACTTTGGAGCAACTTGTGGGAGGGGAAATGGACTTGGCTCTCATGTTCTGAGAGCAAAGCATAGCTGAGAGATAGAGACAACACACAATATCTTGGATAACACCAGCTATTCACGGCTTAGCTATGGCTATGCAGTTGCAGTCCAAAACATATTTAGTCATCACTTAACTTTGAACTAAAGAGCTAAAAATTATTCTCCAAAGGGAAAAACCACTTTTGAGCCTTGGTAATGTAACAGTGCCTGCGGGGGATGCCATAGCAGGGCATTTTTGACAGAATGACCAATAAAATACTGCTGAAGGTCCCTCAGACTATGTGCATACAAAGGGATGATCCAGAAAATCCACATCCATGGAACACAGCTTCCTGGCTCTTACTTATTGACTACATTTCTGTTCATCAGACTGTATATACTTATCCTAGAGGAAAGTTAGGGGGGAAATCTCTTAAACTGAGGAAGGATCAAGATTCCATTTTCTTCTCCTCTCTCAGAAAGCTTCTGTGCTGTCAGAGGGGACACTCATGTTGTGACTTTCCCTGAGATGGACAGTTACACATCCAGACAGCAAGAGCACTGACTAAAATGCAGCCAGAACTTGCAGTGTTATGCAAGAGTCTTGTGGCTCCCAACTTAAGAACAGATAACGTAATTTTATTTTTCTCCCTTTCCTTCCATCCCCAGGAGCTCCAGAGAAATGAGAGTGGTCTCATCAGAGATATCAGTATTCCAGAGCAGGCTGCCTGTCACAATATTTCTGGACATGTCTCCCTATCAGATCTGAGGGTCACTGCAATAGACACTTCAGAGTCATCAACCACCAAAGAAACTGCTTCACTTCCTCTTCTTTCTCTCACACAGCTGGTGTTTGCTTGGCTTATCTTGGCCTCTGAGTACGAAAAGTGAGGCACATAACACCAGGTCACATCATTGGCCCACTATGGAAACCTCTGTAATTCCCCCCTGGCAGCAGGGTGTTTCACATCTGATGGCCCTGAAAAGATCCTAACATAATAAAAAATTGTGTCGCTTTGGAAGAGATAAGTTCAATTAGTATTGGTATTTATTTTATTTTTTAAAAATACAATTTCTAACATGGTTCGTTCTGAATCAGAAAAGCAATGTCCTGTAATGCAGTAAAGACAGGAATACAGTAATCATAGAATCATTGAATGGTTTGGGTTGGAGGGGACCTTGAAGATCATTTAGTTCCAGCCCATCTGACATGGGCAGGGACACCTCCCACTAGACCAGGTTGCTCAGAGACCAATCCACCCTGGCCTTGAACACTGCCAGGGATGGAGCAGCCACAACTTCTCTGGGGAGCCTGTGCCAGTGTCTCACCACCTTCAGAGGGAACAATTTCTTCCTAAATTCTAATCTGAACCTACTCTCTGTTAGCGTGAAGCCCTTGACCCTTGTTCTGTCACCCTTGTAAATAGTCTCTCTTCATCTTTCCTGTAGGTTCCTTCAGGTACTGGAAGGCTGCAATTAGGTCACCCTGAAGCCTTCTCTTCTCCAGGCTGAACAATCCCAATTCTCTTAGCCTTTCCTCATAGGAGAGGTGCTCCATCCCTCTAATTATCTTGGTGGCCTCCTCTGGACCAGCTCTGAAAATACTGGATTTAATAATTAAGCTATGCATAGCTACAGCTATGAGGATAACTTGGGACTAGATAATGATCACTGAAATGCCAGTAACCTGTCCTCATAATCCCTGGACTTAAATCAGCATAGAAAACTACAATCCTTAGTTACTAAATGATGTGATTGAATCTAATATTAGTCCTGCCACATCTGCTGGTGACTGCATGGCAGGGAATTTACCTGCTGAATTCCTGGTAACAATGAGGCAATGATTTGGTGTTTTGTGAAAAATAGACTTTATACACTGTCATGTAGCAAACCTATGAGTTCCAGTTTTACAAAAACTCTGACAGGCTGGTGAGTTGTTTGATGTGCCCCAGGATGGGGTTTGTTTGCTATGAGCTAGGATATTTCCTCTAACAGTTATTCACAGCATAATGTCCACATAGCTCCTCCATGAAAGCACTAATCATGTGGGAAAAGAAAACCTGGAAAGCCAAGGGCTTACCTTGTTTAGGCTAAGCTATTCCAGATGCTATATTTGCATATTAAGCACCTTTTGCACTTCCCAAAACAGTCTGGATGAATCCCCCTCTATGAATCCCCATTTGCCATCAGAATTTACATACAGGGTGGAAGAACATTCTGAGCTGCACAAACCCCACACAGCAAGTCAGCCTGGTTCTGGTTTCAGAGCTGCAGACACATAATGGTCCTGAGGCTTGGCAGGGACCTGTTTCAGCAGAGTTGGGTACATTTCTTTAAGGATCAGGGGCAAATATGTCCTGCTGTCAGGCATCTGCTTTTGAGAGCACTGCCTTCTGGACTCCACAGGGCTGCTCTCCATGATGTGCTGTGGGTCCACCTGGAGAGCTTCCCTCTTCTTCCTGGAGCTGAATTCTGGATCTCTGTACTTTTCCTATCCTTTCCATTTCACATACTAGAGCTTGGCTTGTCAAAATACTAAGGTATGTATATGTGAAGCTTTGGAAACACTGCCAGAACCAGCTCCCAAGAAAGGTGGCCACATGGAGATCATGAACTTCTATTTAACACTCATCTAGCAAAAGATGAAGTAGAAGTAGACTTCTCATGAGAAGAGTGTGTAAGACAGGAAGAGGATCGTTCCTGCACGAAGTTCTTACTTCCTCCTGAAGGTTAGAGAGGGGAGGGAGCTTGAGTCATACCCACTCTAGAGTGCCATTCTAAGAAGAGCAGCAAGAGGAAAGAAGAAAGGGGAGCAAGAATGGCCGAAAATGTCATTTATGCTGACTTGAACTTGCTGGAATCACAGCGTCCCAGACTACAGGAGGTGACTGATGTCCAAGGTAGGACAACTGGTGTGCACTGAGCTTTCTCTGCATTTTCAGTCTATCTCTCACATACTTGGAAAGAGTACCATGGAGCACCAAAGGCCCAAAGAGCATGAAAGAAATGTGAGGGCCAGTGGTGTGAAAAATGTGCAGGTGTGGTATGCATACAGGTTGTGTTGAACCGGCAGGTGTGGTATGCATACAGGTTGTGTTTTTTAAAGAAATGGGATTGCTACAAGGTCTACTATTCATTTGTTAATGTGGAATTATGAGGGAGAGTCTCTTGTGTGATATTAAGAGTAGCTTTTATCAGTTTTGGAGATTATTCCACAGCTGCACATCCACAGGTCCTGAACTGGGCATGTTCTCCCACGGCAGACTCTGATTCCTGCAGCAAACTGCTCAGGAGATCGAGTGTCTCCTGTTCTGGTGTTTGCCACAGGC